TCGAAAACAAAAATTAGCCAATGAACAATCAGCAAATGATCATCTGTTACGTCATTCGTAATAACAAATGATGACATCATTGAGTTTTGCATTGTCTACTATGTAGAAATAAGAATGGTATTTCATTTTTTTTTTCATATCCAAGACCATTACAGCTTATCGTTATAAAGTAAAATTAATTTGAAGCTTATGACAAAATTCATTCATGTTATTTTAAAAGATATCTTATACTTTATTGAATTAGTTTTAAATAGTATAAATTTATTAACAACTATATAAAAAAAAAAAATAATGATTTAATGTTAATTGGAAATGTTTACTATGTCGTAGCATTTTTGTTGAAATCAATTTTCTTGATCGTTGTCTAAATTTGGCTATTTTAATCAATTTTGTATTCGTTTAGCAGCCACCTTTATAATAAATCACTAACTGCAGCCTAAAGTTAAAATCTAAAGTAGAAAATTTTATAAAAAATAAAATAATAGACACAAAGCAGCAAAAAGTAGATTTATCTGCGTCATGATATCTCGCAGGTCGTCGACTTCATTCTCTCCTGTACTATCGTATTTGATACTTATAAAGACAATCATGTTAAACGGCTTTCTTAACAAATTTATACTTAATAAAACCATATTAAATAAGTAACTCGTACCATTTTAGATACATGCTCGATGAACAAATCCATAAAAAGTTGTCTCGAAAATTCACGTGATATTTTGCAAGTGTTGGAAAGGTTGGAAGAGTATATCCATCTATAAAAATATATATATATAAAGTAAAGCTTAACAGTTGACTCTCGTCTAAACGACTTTTTGACTTTTAATTCTCATATACATACTTTATACTTACGTAAAAAAAATTGTGTAATTTGACTTCTCGTTCAAAATAGGAAGGCTCCTTTGACACGGAAATTTGGTAAGTGAAGTTTTTTTATTTATAAAAAAATTTATTTTTCTTTTAATTTTTTTTAATAAGACTAATCTTTTTTTTTCAATTGAGTTTTTGCATCGCATCTCATTTTTGAAAACCGTACCTATCGCAACTGATCAAGTTACGATCAAGGTTGTAGTAACAGCAGAGGTGGTGGCAATCGTGGTTTTCAGTATTATTACCTTCACATGTCGTGTTTAGGAGGTAAGATATTTTACAATGAAAGCAGAAATCAATCTATTTAATAAATTATAACAAACGAAGTTTAAGTACAAAAAAATTAGGAGAACTGTTCATTTGGCGCTCTGTAATAACTTTTAGAGAAGATATCCAAATATAAAGGGATAAAGACAAAAACAATTTATATCTAGAAATATTCTAATTCTCCCAAATAAGTATAGAAACAGAACAAATATTAACAGGAGTGCTATTTTAATAGCACATTGAAGTTATGGGTCGTAAAGATTTAAAAAGTTGTGGAAAATGTTTATTTATCCTAAATGAAGATTTTGAAAGGGGTTTCAAATACTGATAAAGTTTTATAAGAATAATGATTATGCGGTGGACATGTAACTGCGGAGGATAAAAAATTTAGAAAATGGGAAACGTTTGTGAAGAATCTGCGCAATCAATGACTTTTTTTTTTACGAACGCGTCACACTTAATTCCTTAAAACCGGTCAAACAGTTTAATTTTGTGGAAAGAAAATAACTTCGTCCGGAAATTCAAGGAAAAAGAATTTTTTATTCTAAAGATAAAATTTGAAATCAAAAAAAAATTTTTTTTTTTTTTAAAAAAAGGATTTAAAAAAATATAAAATGAAACTATAAACTTTAATTAATGAACCGCATAACGAGTGTGCAATTCAAATTAGTAGATTTATACTTTAAAATGCGCCTCTCTTTGCTCAACTCTAACCTTTAATTCAGTGCAGGCGTTTACTAATTTATTCTTTAATTTCAAAGGAGCATCCATGTCTACTAATGTAATATCCAAATTTTTATAAATCAAAGAGACTAGACATTTCATTGTTATAAGTGCTAACTTTCTTCCTGGACAAATCCGCACTCCACCTCCAAACATCAAAAATGTGTTCTTTTGTGGTTCAGAATCCATAAATCGATCAGGATTGAATTTAAGCGGGTCCTTCCAATGAATGGGGTTATGATGAATTCCTTCAATATATGCATAGAACGCAGTATTTGCAGGCCATTCACGATCGACTATCGTATCTGGTAAGGAAGAGTTACGTTGAGCAAATTTTGCGGGAGTTATAAGACGAGCGCATTCTTTGATTATAGCTTCTGTATAACGCATTTTTGAAAGATCTTCCATCGTCATTTGACGATTATTATCAGAATCAAAAATGGTATCAAGTTCTTCTCTCAAGCGAACTAATACATTAGGATGATGAGCCATATGATATATGACAAAACATAATAAATTTGCGGTTGTTTCAATTCCTCCACTAATAGCTTCAATTAAGATTTTAAAAAATTTGATCATTGGTTAAAGGTTTAGAATTTTCATCAACAACCTGTTCAGTATTTGCTTTGATTAATAATGTCAACATGTCACTTCCTAATTCCTTGTGATCTTCAATTTCTTTTCGACGATGATCAATAATCTTCATTATGATTTTTTGGGTCTCATTTCTATTCTCATGCATTTCATCGTTCTTTTT